ACCCGATAAACAAGAAAAATGTAAATACTTACAGAATAAATTCAAAGATGTTGGATTTGAACGAATCATATTTACTGTTCATCCATATAGCTTGCCAAATGAAATTCCAGGTAAATGTTCGAATTCGAATTATGGTCTTCGAATGGTTGTTAGTCAAATGAATGTTGTTGATGATGATATGAAAAATATTCTTGTAACAACATGTGATGCTGATTCAAAATGTCCACCAGATTATATTGCAGCATTGACTTGGAAATATTTACAAGAGAATCAACCAGTATTAACTACAACCTATCAATCACCTTTGTTTTACAATTGGAAATTGGATAGCCTATCATTTGTGACTCGTGTCATAGGACTTTTACGAAGTTTATTAATGCTTGGTACCATTATTCCATTCAACATTAATACGATGAATATTTTTTCATATTCACTCAGTCTAGCAAAAAAAAAGGTAATTTCAAAGAGCTGCCCTAAATCTTCATAAAGCATGTGCACACGTGACTTTATATGTGTAAGCAAACATACAAACTCATTTTATTTCCTATGATCCTCTCTTCAGTTGAGAGAATAAAGTCACCTAATATTGAAGAAAAAATGCAATGGTCTCACATATTCTTTATTAAAAATAAGAACAATATCAACATTCTGCAACATATCGGTAAATATTCAATTCATCCAAGACGAAGAGATAGTTTTTAGTTGCAAATAAGATTGTCAACGCGAAGCTGGTTGTCGGTTGTGATACTGTCGTTGAATCGACAAGTATGGTCGGCGTTCTTTTAAAATCTTCTCCAAATTTCAACTGTTGTACGACCAGTTCATTTGTTCGGCTATGTGCTGTAGCTAGATAGAAACAACCATTTCTCACTTGTGAAATGCTAGCCGATATGGAGTATGTTAAAATAACATCTGTATCGTTTAATATGCCTCCGTAAATCAAATCACGAGAAGAATTAGTTGGTGACGTAAATCGTGTGTTCATAATCAAAACTGACCAAGTAGCCGGATCACTTGTAATGGTCAAACCCCATTGTTGTTCTCCTGGAGAGTACAAGTACAGATTTCGATTACTGCTTGCATTGGGAATTGAATTCATTCCGATAAGAATGAATTCTTTTTCACTTGAATATTTGTAAGTACATAGCATTTCAGGTATAGAAGCCGATAGATCATGAGATGAACAAGGAACAGAAAAAAGCAATTTGTCTATTTGAGCGACATTGGTAAAGGCACCCGTATGTGGCTCTAGAAATATTGACGAATTTGATGAATGCACTACTGGCCATGTTTCGAATGTGAAATCAACCAAATTCAAATGGCCGACAGAATAATTGTTGGAACCGGAAGGATAGGAATTTAAGAGAAAATACACGTCGTTACTGATTGTTACTGGTTGGGATGAAAATCTTGCGAATGAACTTTCAGAATGGAATACCAATGGACTGCCAATAGGAGTGATATTTAATGTTAAAGAACCAATTTTCAGTCGGAAAAAGACAGTATCACCACCAGGAAAAGTAAATGATGAACACATCAGAACCACGGCATTACCTGAAAAGATGAAAGCAAATCAAAGAGGATATTTAAGAGAAATATTTTGAAGTCTGAATAGTCTTGTCTTCTCAAAGTTAATTCTATTTCCAAATGTTCTATTTCAAAGTTTTTCCTCAATGAATGAACAATTTCTGATTTTGAATTCTATAGTATTACTCTTAGAATTTTGTTCGTCATATCATTCTCTTTACCTTGGCTGTTGTTGTAATATGGGATGAATTTAGCTCCGAAACTACACTGACCACTCATGTCACCGATAATTGATGTGCTCAACTGTACGGTTGATCCATTTCGGTTCATCAATTCCAAGTACGATGTAGGTAAACTCCATGGACCAGCATTTCTAATGTTAACTATTGATAGAATTGTTGCTTCGTCGGATAATACAAATATGTCGATAATCTCGCAGATATGAAATTTACCCGACCGACAGCCAGCGATCTTATAAATAGAATCATCATGGTTCGGCGATATTCGTGCTTGAACAACACAACAGAGGAAAATCAGTGCCACGATGTGTCTTATTGACATCGTTCCTTCTTTGTTTTGTACTGCGGTGCAATTTGATTTGGATTTTATCAAACCTCATAACAAAAGGAACATCTGTTCTAAATCCCATCTACCATGATAAAACTAACACAGGCCATTCGCTTATGACAAACATTCGGTTTCTACTTTTTTTAAGATAAAATGAGTCTAGAATCTTCATGGGGTGAGTGTAGATGTGTGGGCTTGGATTTGGGTGTGGAGTGTGGGATGTGAAGTGTGAGGTGCGGATGTGAGGTGTAGGTGTAGATGTGGATAATGTACGTATGGGTGGAAAAGAATTACACCCACACCCACACCATTTCTTCCTCTTCAAGAAGAATTTGGTGAATTCTAAATTCAATTGTTGTAAAAGCTTTATTATATTGCCCATCAAAAATTGAATAAGTTAAAAAATACACGTTGATCAAAATGAGAAAACTTTTTTCAAGCATTTAATCGTGAAATTTTAAAATATGGTGTCATGCAAAATAAATGTTTGATGTACTATATGAATTTTCTGTTTGTTTAAATTTTTAAATTTTGTATTGTTCAGATACTTAAACATGTTAAATAAGTAGGCAATTCACTATATAGGTGTCAATCAAAAATTAAATAAAAAAGAGTCATATTTCATGAAACATAATTATAATACATATGTTCTATAACAGAGAAGTGTTTTTATCGATGAATAAAATCTATGAAAAAACGATTCAATGTAATTAGATGTAATGCATTTGTTAAGCGTACAGTGTCTCTATGGTTATTGTTGTTTTTTGCTTCCTTTTTAGACAATATGAACTATTTGTAATAGAAGATATTACTTCGTTAAGTTTTTCGTTTGTTATTATTATTATTCTTTGGAGTAAATTAATAAATATTAAAAGAAGATTGTAGGATACAAAATAGGTATATGATACAATTATAATAGTTAGTAGATAATAGAATTGTTCCTCTTTGAAAACTGTTAATGTGAGTTAGAAAAGTGCTTGTGTCAGTTTTTGAGAATTGGTTTGATCAAAACAACGATTACTTGGATAGCAATCAAACTTCTTCTAATGTATGAAAGAGAAGCGAGTGTTGTTTTGCATAATTTGAAAAATAGGTTAGTTTTACAAGAACGTTTCTCAGATCTTGAAATAATCGCCAAGACTGTTGAGTCTTATATCAAGCAGAACTCAAAACAAAATGAATTTCCTATTACTGTTTATGAATGAAAAAAATCTTATCTTTTGTTTTTCTTACGTAAGTTGGAAAATCCAAAACTTTAATATTTATTCAAATATTCTTGTCGATTGGTTGTATGTTAATTCTTATCTAAAATACATTGAGAGTTTACTAATTTTTGTAGCTATCTTTTTTGTGCTAAAACTGTTTTTTAGCTTGTAATTGCTCATACACATCTGGTCGAGACTCATCATATTACTCATATTAAAATAAACCAAAAAAAAAACGATGAAGACTTATGATAATTTATTTGTTAGTACACACGAAAAGTTATCACATATGCATTAATCTTTTAACATTCAAAACAAAAACAAAAGCAATATTTATGAATGACATTCTATAAAACTTAATTCTCTTAAATATTAAATGATTAATCAAAATGTAGAAATGGAATATAAAAGGAGATTCAAATAAAGTCTAGTCTTAATTAAAATCGGATTCATTTCTTCTTCGCTTCTTCGTCCTCTTCATACATCTTACGAAGTGCTCGTAAGAGTTGTCGTTTTAATTTTTCATTTTGACATCTTGTTTGAATGTCTATTTTCAATGCTTGATATCCACCTGTATTGGCAGCATATGTACCATCACTTAAAACATCTGTATTAAATCGTGACCATGTGAAACCATGATTAATTGCACCTTGCAAAAAACATTTCACTGCTGGTGTATCCATTGGATCTAAAAAAGAAGATTGTATTAAAGAATTAAAGTTTAATCCTAATTATACTTTTTGAAAGACATATTTTATTGCATAAAAGTGCATTTTTTTCATCTCGAAGTTCGAATTGAAAACCATGACCAATGACTACATCAGCTTCAGAAACTAAGACTTGTTGTGCTGGATCTCGTAATTGATAATATGATCCTTTAATATATAAATGTACTTTACATCCTTGTGCCACATTTTCTAAAGGTTTAACACGAGGATGAAAATTTTCATGAAGTAATAATGTATCTCCTGTTATATATTTGCTTGATTTATATACTTTAATTGGACATTTTGGTTTTGCTTAAAAAAAAAATTTTTTTCTAGGAAACCTACAGTTCGAAAGAATAAACTTACATGAGAAAAAAATTCCTTCCGCGAAGACTATGGAAAGTAACAAAAAGGCAAGAGTATGACCTTGCATTTCTTTTTTGTGATTTGATGTATTTAGCTATCGAATATACACTAGCTTATATAATGTATTTTTAAATGATTATAATCTAAAGATTGTGAATAAGTACGATAACGTTATATATATCCTCAAACAACTTAATCCAAGTCTTTTTTTTTTATTGGTCCCACTTGTATACTGCCTTTTTTTATTCTTCATGGATGCAAAGTTCGGGTATCACAATATTCGTTTGTGATATATTACTCACGAAAAAAAAAAAGTAAGTATTATATGATGATTAGACAGAAAGAGAAACTAAAAGAACAAAAAAATATTGGCATATTACTCTCATTTCAAAATGTAATGTTTCTGATCAAATTAATGTACATATTTATTCAGCCCACATTTAGACATCTTATTCATCAGTAACATTAGATCAATTTCATAAAACTAAAAGAAACAGAAAACAAAATTAAAATACATATTAGCTAGAACTATGAAACCAGCAACGATAAAAGCAAAAATAGCTGCTCTATACCATCTTGTTAATTCAACTTGTGTTTTCAATAATAGATCTTCTCTGAACAATTTATTATAGTAGATAGTGATTGTGTTTTTGCTGCTAATGTTGTTGTAGTAGTTACATTGACCATTAGAAGAAAGAACATCTTTCATACATGATAAATTCACTTGTTTTTGGTATAGTCTCCGTAAATTGGAATGTTGCCCGTATATAACCAATTTTAAAAATGAAAAATATCACAACAAATTGTCTCGCACTTGTAAATATGCATTTGACATATATGATTAGGACGACTTGATAATATTCAAAAGTGATCTGTGCAGATGAACAATACACATATATTTTAGCAAAATTTTTATTTGAAGGACTTCATTCAATAATAATTGAATGACAAGTATTAAAGTTAGAAAGGTTAAAAATAAATTTTGATTTTCTTTTGACTCAGATCTATTTATATGAATATGTTTCAATCATTGAATAGTATTAATTATAGTTACTATAACTATTGTAATAATATAAAGAGTACCTTCCATTAAGTAATTGGCATTAAATATTCATTGATTCTGTATTCAAATGAATCTGATATTAATGAATGATTATTATAATCCTATTGTATTGTAATACTAGTTTTTTTTCGTAAAAAACATCAATTATTGGTATTTGAGATACTTACGAGTGAATCTTCAAAAATGTTCCCTTTCAATTTCAATGATTGTTTTGTGTTTAAATACTACACAGTAATCTAGTAAAAAATCTAAAAGAATTTGAGTACCTATTGACACTCGGTGAAGCTATTGAATTTTTAATGTTTCTTTTTGCCAGAGATCTCTGTAAGATCCCCCAGGATCTCAAAAAAAAATCATATTTTTGAAATTTGCCTTGAGCCTATCTCTATTTGAAGATTTACTATTTGACAGATCTCTAAGACAAAGATGCCGATGAGATTATGCGCTCATTTTTCAGCGTTCGTTGGAATGTCCGATGGACCATCAAAAGATAAGTCTCACTGTTAGATGTTATCCAACAAGTTTCTATATCTTCTCATAAAATGTAAACTTTCTATCGGAGAAAGCAAACAGAGAGATGCTATTCATTTAATGCGATTAATGATTGCAGTAAACATAAGTTATCTTGTCCTCTGTTTCGACATGTATATTGAATTATTAAGATAGACGAATTCTAGATCTAACTAAAACTTCTTATTTGATCCTTCGCAATAAAGTGACTCACACAAACACAGAAT